TCCTTGTTTTGCTTTATCCACTGAAGTTGCGAAGAAACAAAAATGCCGTCATAACTGTGAGGGTGGACTTGTTGGGATTGATAGAGGCTTATCCTCCCAAAGAATTTTTCCATCGCATGCACAGAACTTTTTAGAGTTCTGGAAGAGCCCAGCTGACCTGGCAATAATTCCACAAGTTAATCTGAAAAAACAAAAACAAAACACATAAATACAAATAAATACATGAATACAAGATCAAGAATTCTTCCCAGAAATCCTCTATTTAATAAAATAAAACGTCTCAGTTTGCCATGTCACCAAGAATGTGCTTTAATTTGTGTTTAAATGCTGCAAGTGAGTATAGATTGTAACAGCTAGTTTCTTTACTCTTACCCTGGGCCTGAATTTCCATTCACTCTTGACAGGGCATGACTGCCATAGCCTAAATCATCTTCGCCACTGTGTACAACAAGTGAACGACCAATCACATCCCACACCTGGCAAGGATGATAAAATGTTAGAAAAATTATGATATACACATGCAATGTAAAAAAAGATCATGGAATAATAATATAGATTCGCTAAAGGCCAAAATGGAGTTGAATTTTAATGATTATTATGGAGTGCATCTCATGGTAAAACTGTATCTGGACGGAGACCAACCACCACGAGGTGTGTAAATTGATCAATAATAATTCCTGAAACAATTGCCTGCAAATGCCTGAAACAAATAATTCAAAATGAGTTTAACAAGGCTAGGAATCCAACTAGCCCGAGGCAAACCAGTTGGCTATTTACAAGCATGGCTGAGGGTCTGAACTCGAGACTACCGAAAAACAAATCCAGCTAGCAGTCAGAGTGGGACTTGAACTTGGGGCCTCCGAATTGCAAGTCCAGCGCTCTCACCACTCAGCCACCTTTTCTCCCCTCAATAAATTAGAGAGCAACAAAAGCCCGCTGAGATATGCCTTTCCTCTGATCATGGAACAACACCTGTTACATGTATGTTAGTACATGTATGTGAATAAACTTCTTTGGTAGAACTTTTGCACAGGTACTATTTATTTCTCACGATTTTACAAAGATGGAAGTTTGAAATTTTTTGTAAGTTTTTTTTTTCTGCAGCCAGTAAAACTGTTTAGCTAAATTGGATAAGTGTCTATCTGATGAGTGGGAGGTCACGGGCTCAAACCCAGGCCAGACCAACACTCAGGGTCTTAAAATAACTGAGCAGAGTGTGCTGCCTTTGTTGTGACATCTACAAATGGTTAGACATTCTAGTCTTCTCGGATAAGGACGAAAAACTGTACGCCCCATCTCATGGCTCTTTCACTGCTCTGAATCTTGTGGGATGTAAAAGAACCCACACTGCCATTCGGTTCGTAAAGAGTAGGGGGTGTAGACCCCAGTGGTGTGGTACAACCTTTCATGGGCTGGGTGGGTAATGGAGGGGTTGATATTAATTGGGACGTAAGTCCTGTTTCATCCCCTTACACCATGTTGAGTCGCTGTGGCGAATTTCTGTTAAGGGTTTAAGATGTGCAGGTACACTTGTAATAGTGAGTCCTCAGAAGATCAGTCTTATTAGCTGAGTGAAGCACAAGGTTAGAGGAAATCTTTTCCACCTCACCCCACTGAGTCTTAAAAGTGCCCAATATTATGCTCAGCCTGTTTCCCTTTAATACTGCATTGATACACAAATTATACTACCTTCACATGTCTGTCCTCCAGACGGAAAGATGCTCTGCCATTCTTGTCTGCCAAGATGTTACCAAGGTCACCAACATGCTGCAAAATTTAACAACCACTTATTTTGTTGGTTGATTGTTCTAAAATTATCATCCACCCACCATTCTCTCACAATCATCTAGCCAATAAAACACATCCACACATCCAGGGCATGTACATGTACCTTTTTCTACAGCTAGAAGGAGTAAAGTTCAGAATTATGGTGTCTGTTACCAAAATCTAACGTCCATGCAAGTGAAACCTCAGTAGCATTACTTTACAAGGCACTTTTATTAGCGTGAATAGCGTACACGTAGCTATATTTTTGGGGGTTTGGGAGCTTCCAAGCCCATAAAAACTTTTAGAATGAACAGACAAGAAATAAGCTACCTAATGATGTACAATAATTTGCTATCAAATACCAAATAACCTGATAAAATTGAATATTTACATCTATCAGACTATATACATTAAAAATAATTATTGCTCCACCCTTAAGAATATTGGATATAGATGTAAACATTGCTAAAGTTTCAATCTGAGCATTTTCTAAACATGTAAATGTTCCATCAGGAAAAAATTACAGCATATATGTTTGTCATCAACTCTTGCAAAAATATGTTTGAAAATCAACATACTCTCTCACTGTCCTCTGGTGCTCCATGTCTACAACTCCAGGGATTGTAGTGATCACCAGTGCTGGGAATAATGAATACCAATATATAAATTAACATTGACTAAATATTAAGGAGAAACGTTGGAGTATGGAGTATGGACTTTCATGCTTTTTAGGCCTACATGTAAAAGCATCGTCTATAACCCATGTCTTGGCTTGTTACTGCGCAGTTTTTGCATCTACATGTATACGAGTATTCAAGTATACTTACTATGACATGCAGAGGGACTAATGAATTTTGTGGGCATAACATTGGTTTGAAGGGATATTAGGGGCTGTTAAAGGAAACAGGAATGTTTTCTTTTTTCACTCCATTATTGTCAATAATATTGCTCAGAAAATCATTTCCGTTTTTGAAAATCACATCAAAGTATATTGTGTGTGCTTCTGATTGGTTGTGCCATGTGAGAAATTGCTTCAACCAATCAGAAGCATTACCCAGATCTGGGTAGTGATATGTCATCAGTACTGAATTTCTGTGCTCCTTCCTTGGACATCATTTTGTGGGGAAACTGGTGGTGGCATGGCAAAAAGTTGGCTGTTTTTTCAGGCTATAGTACTCTAACCTTGAACATCCCTGAGATAAATCACCCAACTCATGAATGTTCAGTCCATGAAGGCCAGGACTAAGACCATCAACTGTCCCATCTATGACACACAAATCTTCGGATACCTGAACACATTGATTGGATAAAAACAGTGAAACTTGTGTTAGCCAAACATTCACGGAATTCTCTTAGGGTTTGCTTAATTAGTACTGAACACAAAATTAATTTTGTTTAGAAATAATTGCATTAACAGCTGATAACACCACAAGAAAACAAACAAACAAAGAAAAAAAAGTCAAAGTAAACATTACTTAGGTGTTTTTTTACGCATCACCTGCACAAACCTGGCCACGCCCATCACCCTCCCACTTCTCAACTCAGCCACTGCGGCTCCTAAGTTCGTCACTTGTGAGCCTTAAGGAAATTAAGAGAAATGATCAACTGAAATATTGTTTGATTGACAGCACATGCCTCATAACAAATACATTTCTGATAGGTTTTACAGTGTGACTACTATAATCAGAGACACCTAGACAAAGTTGATGCATCAGATAACAGAACAAAACAATGCATTATGTTAGTTGTCAATCATAATCAAAACAGACAAAATGGATCAAAATCAAACAATAGTAACCTACAGACATGGCCTTTTGAACCTGCCAAAAAAAGCTAATGTTTCCTGAGAGGTCCATTAGTGAATGATGCAGGCATTAAATGTAAACATTAGTTAAATTTTTGACTTGAGGTTGGGATGTTACATGGCAAAGCGCAGCAATGATAGCCAAAGCATTGCTGGTATATGACAAAATAATAGCTTGTGACAAACACATGTAAAGTTTCGAACAGAAAAACATTGTCTAGTGAAACATTTTGCTTTCTTGAAAAATGAGCGCTATCGATAAAATTTTGTGCTTCCAGTAACTAATTCTTTTTTTAAAAGCTACTGATTGGCCCACAACCAACTTTCTTGTAATGTACTATTATTTTCCTGTAATCTGATTAGTCAACTATGTCTTAGTGGCCCCAGTTATAACAGTCACATTGTAAAGCCTTAACTTCAATCCAGTACCTGCAGTTCCAAGTCCACGTAAAATGGCCATTCTTCCTGAGTTTTCAATCAGTTGTTGGACTTGGCCTGTTGATAATGTTGTCTCCACGATGACTTGCTCCTTGTCCAAGTTTACTGTAAATGACTCAATCCCTTGTTAAGAAATTGAAATGGAATACATATAATTTACAAGGTTAGCGCAAGCACCAAAACTTAAAACTTGTTCAAGAAAAATGTCAATTTCATTTTTTAAGTGTCATGTAACAATATTATTTTAATAGCAATGCTTGTTATTTCTTCTTAACAATAAAATCACCTGACTTGTGCCTGTTCATATTAGTGATAATAGTGCTGCATGCATAATGTTTAATAGAAGGGGGAAGTAGTTATGTCACATTGCCACAGTAGCAAAATTTCTGGATAACAACAAACTGAAAACATACATCTTATTTAAATAATTTCATTTAATTTTTCAAATATTCAAATACTGGCAAAATTTTCTATGGTTGAATCTAATAGACCATATCTAAGTTAAGAAAAGAAAAAGGAAATTTTTGTGCTATGTTCTGCACTTCAAAAAATGGGTGCGTAAAATAAAGAAGCTTCATGTTGCAGTCATGCAACGATGTTAAGAAATGGACAAAATTGTGTGATGGACGTGAAAAGGTTGTTGTTTTGCCAATCTAAACTTTCTTGTTGCTGTCGTGGTCGGTTGTTGCTAAAGTTCCAATATTGTTGTGATCCAGAAATTTTGCTACCATGGGTATGTGAGGTAACACTCCTCCTCTCTATAAAGCACATACACAGCCAATAATATTATTGGCTTCAGCTGAACAATCAATTTCAGGTACATGGACCTTTTGGCTTGCGTCAACTATTAAATTGTAAAACACACCATAGCATCACTATAAGACTCGCTGATACCTTCTTTTCCATGAAGGGAATTGCTTATTGCATCCACACATTTTTGACATGTCATTTGTGCAGCAAACTCCATCTACAATAACCAAATAAGAAATAACATTCGTAAACTGTTTATCATTGTCGTGTTGAAAATAAATTAAATAAGAGCTTAGGATCCCTAAATCTTTTTCTTAATAAGAAATAATAATAACCGCTGTCAGGAAAAGAAGTTTCAAAATACCGTCCCCGCCCCGACCCCCTTTTCAGACACAATATGATTTATTTTCCCCACAGCACTGGTACTAGATATAATTTCCTCTAATCTTTCCTGTAAGATCAGACCGTAAAGAAGACACCGCTATAAGTAGCTAATTCTGTCCATCCTTGATACATGTACGTGCATGTGAAGGGAAGTGATGTGGAATCGAAGGCAAGCTACAACAAAGCCCGGAACAAAGTTGACCTCTCAAGCACTTTTTGATGTAGCAGAGGTAAAATGAGAACGCCTCAAGTCAAGAGGCTCGCCTCTAATTATTGATTCTGAGAAAATCGTACGGATTGCTGTTTTCCCTTTAAAACAGCTTAAAATCTCCAGTAAGTGGAAATTCTAGCTATCAAGAAACGTAACAAAACACGAAAGATACCTTTGTCGTAGTGAGGTGGTTCGAAGACGCCATCTTGGAATATAGACAACTTGGCAGACTGGGTCGAGTTGTTGTCTGCCTCGTGTTGAAGAAGAGGGCAGATACAAAAGCCCGGGAAAAAGGAACATGGCCGAAATGACGAAGGAAGGAGCGAAACTCCATCCGTTGGTTATATTTTACGATAGCGAAGCTGCTCACGGAAATGTCTACCGTGGAGATATCATTGAAATTGCCGCCAGATGCCACCCTGATGTAGTGAAAGGTTCATTTCAAACTCTGATAAACACAAATCAGCCCTTGTGCGCTTTCGGTAAGTGAACTCCCTGGATAAAATTCATCGCTGTGCGTTGTTGAAAATCTACGCTGTCAGCAAGTTTTTGGCTGTTTTTATTACTGCGCAATTGCTTAAGAGGAAGAGCTTTATCCTTCTACTGCTTACTGCAATTTTGGCGTCTAAGGGTTTATTTAAGCTTGGAAAAGCTCTAATGTTCGGAAAAACCGAAAGTGTACTGGCGGTAAGCTTAAAATCAGTTATACACGGCCTCGTAATTGTGTGTATAGCGTGGCAGTGGTACAGAAACGGAAGTCATGCGAAGAAAGTGCAACGAAGAGCCAAATTATTGTTCCTTCCTTTTTATCTGCTCCTAAACACCATCTTGTCCTGAATTCTGAGTCGTTCAGCAGAAAGAACGTCATAAAACGTCCAAACTGCGTAAAATTCTTCTGAACGTTTGACGACGCTATGCGCTTGCATGCGGTTTGTTGGCATTTCCGGCATGTAAATTATTATAAACGTTCCGTTTTGTTCACGCTGAGTGAATTTCATGTTACTGAATTCACATCGTTTAGAAGGACGCTGACAGGTTTTTTAAAATTATTATTAAGGAATGGTAAATACATTTGAGAATTTTGAACCTAAAAACGTCCAAAATCGATTAAAACTGAGGAAAGTTATGCAATCAATGTCGTGACTCAAAACTAAACATGAGAAAGTTTACTGTTTAAGACTTAAGCTTACAATTTCAAATTATGTGGAATGGGGTGTAAAGGATATCTTAAGGTATGTCCATTCAATGAAAGCCAAAAACGAAATTTCCTTTAAAAATTAATGTCGTTTGTTTCTGCCAAATGCCCGGCCAATCATAAATTTTAATTGAATTATACTAGTACAATGTAATGTGGGGAAAGTTGCCTTGTAACGAAAAAAGCCTTTGGCAGCTTTCATTTTGAACCAAGAAGCTGAAAAAATATTTGCAGTTTAAAATTCCTGCACATATATTTAGCCTTTATAATAGGTTGATTCCTGGGGATTATATTCCTTTATAGAAAGTTACTTTGAAGAAAGTTCTGGAAGCATCTTTTACTGTTGTTACTTAATATTCTACTAAACTGCTACTAACTTAACAATATACACAGCAAATTCTCTCTTTAAGCTTGCAAATCAATATTGTAAAGTTGTTGAATTACTGTATTTCCAAGCATGGGTTGGTTGTTGAAAGAGTTTTTCTGGAAATGTCCCAAGTAATTAACATAGTTGAGTTCCTATTTCTAGCTAAGCTGCTTGCCATAAATACATTAATACTATAAAAAGCTTCATGCATTAATAAAAGTGTTCTTTGTTAGTAACATCTCTGTATTAAAAGAAACTAAGTAGGAATTCAGGGCTGTCAATAATATTTAAAGTTGCCCGGTATATGAAATTAGTAGGCAGGGATATTGAGCAGCTGGGAAGTTCTATTTTTCTTGCTCCCAACATTAAGAAAATAGCAGGCAAATACTGTCAAAAAAAATTAAATTTGAACTTGACATGAAATTAATAATTATTATTTTTTGTGGGGATAAAATAAACAGTGAATAGCAAGTAAAGGGAAAGTGTTGGTCACATGGTACAAATTGACATTCACTGTTTGCTGTAAATGTGATTCTAAATCTCTTTAACCCTTTAAGTCCCAATATCCACATACAAATTCTCCAAACTGATCTTGATATATTTCCTTAAAGAATGAGTTTAGAGAATTTGATAAAAGATCAAAGCATTTTCTCTTAAGTGATCATTTTATTAATTCTCACAGCCTAATCTCTTGACAATCTATGAATATCGTTAGGAGAAAATTGATGTTGGTCACTATTTTGAATTAAAGGGTTAATGTTATTCCATTTAGTTATGTACCAGAAGAACAATGTCTTTTCAACTGATGGTGTGAATAGGTATTTTATTACTGTATAGTTTCATACGACACAACTGGTTTAGTGCTCTTCAGATAAAATAGCATAATGGTAGATTACAACAGTATGTACTGATTAAAATTACTTGTCTTTTGTTATTTTTAAAAACGTTACAGCAACAAAAGAATGTGCTATTTCAAAAGAAGACCTCAAGGACCAGCCCTTTTTCCAAGATGTACTAAACGAATTTCTTTTTTGGATTGATGATATGGTTAAACTAGCAAAAAAGAAACATGGCAAGTCATTTGTACCAGGTAAGATGCCAGTTTACAGGACTGTAATATACAGTAGTATTATCAACAAAATCTTTTCATTTCCTTTAGGAGGTTCTTTGTGTACTTGTTACTTGTTTACCATTTATATGGGCAAACTGGTCGGTTCTCAGTTTGGGCAAAGGGTAAACAAAACTTAGGGCATCTAATCCTGAAATTGCATTTTAATCTTTTAAAATCTTCTCAAATTAAATGCGTTTCATTGATTAAAAAAATGGCCACAAGATCCAGGGGCTCATTCTCAACAGTCGTGATAATTTCTTGGGCCCATGAAAAATCAAATGTTCAAATCAAAATCTAAAGAATAACAGTGTCAGTCCTATCTAACAAACCAGGCCATTTTGTTTTGTTAACTGATAGTTTATGAAATAATAATAAATAATTATTATTATAATAATTGCCAAGCTTTTGAAACCTCGATGTTGATTGTAAACAACATCAGCTTTCTGGGCACATATCAGGACTTTCAAGAAATGGGTCCCTTAACTAGTTTCAAAGATGACGTTTGACAAGAGGAAAATGAATATCCATTTGCAACATCCTGACCAAGCAAACAATACAAACTTAATGCAAACATCCCGTTACTCCTTGAATTTTCCAGGGGAACAACCTGAAAAAGATTGTGTTCCATTTGCTTTCCAACATAGACTATCAATACCCTGGCTCTTAATGTCAGCCCTTACAACGTACATGTAGCTCCCCCTGCTTTTTTGATATTACAAACATCAAACCCAAGAGAAAGGTTTCTTTCAAATTTTGTCTTATTCAGGTGCATATGTATGTATATCTAGTTAAGGAAGTCTATTGTAATACTTCCAATTTACATATTTTTTTTCTTAATTCATAAAAAATTATTTTCTTGCAGTCTTATGTGCACACCATGGATATCAGTTTGACTTTTTAATTTTGTTGAGTAACATGGAGAGATCTGGAATACATCACACCATTCTCTCACAGCACAATGTTCATTTTGCAGATAGCTTGTTATTCTGCAGTGAGGTTGGTAAACTTGGAATATTGTAATACATTACATGTATTGTTGCAAACATTTATCTGTATACCTTGTTTTTTGATTAACCCTCAAATAAGCATTCCTTATCATCATCGCCATCATCATCACTATCATTATCATCATCATCATTGTCATCTCATTAGGCAAGCATGGCCTTAAGGAGACTTTTCACAAATTACGGCTATGTCACGGGTTTTCTCCCAACTGTTCCAATAGAGATTCATGGACCTCTCTTCCCCTGCTATTCTACATGAAAATCATGTTATCCTGGGCCTGCCTACATATGTCCTACCAAATGCAAGCCACATGAACACCTTCTAAAATCTTCACTCAGTTGTAACATCAATATGTTTCCTTTCCTCCTCTACCTCCTCTTGTTCACTTTTTTACTGACACAGAGTTTGGTTATTCTCTCATGGTTGCCATGGGTTAGGAAATGTTCAGGGTAGAAAAAATTTCTCGAAAGTCTCCAAGTCAGGGAAAATTTAATACTTTGAAAGAAGTCAGAAAAAAGTGAAATTTTTTTCCAACTTGGCATGTGCTAAAAGCATGGTTCGAGTTAGCAAGGGTTTGAGTTATGGAGATTTAATTGTACATTTTACGGACATGAATTATGTTGTATGTCTAGTAGAGTATTGTTCACAAAATTGAACAACACACTGCTGTTAGATTTTCAAGAAAATCAATCCTTTTTGCACATTATGTTAAGGAACTATCAATTCATGTGCACTGCGCACTCTTGCTGAAAGCATAAATAAATGGGTGGAGGGGATGGCTGTGAGGGGAGCGTTTGAGTCCTTTATCAGATTAATATGTGCAATTGTTTATTCAATTGGTCAGGGAAGTTTTACATTTTTCCGAAAAATGTTTTTGTGGTAACCATGTGACTGTTACATTTATTTGAGATAAGTCAGGTCCCATATCTTTGGCATAACAGCTGTGCATACCAGAATTTAATCCAGGGTAAGGGCTGCTGGGTGGAATATGTATTAAGTGATTTGAATTTTTGTTTTGTTTCATCACTTGTGGATCACACAAAATTATTAATAAACTAGATAATATACACGTATGGGCAGGAGATCTGAAATGGGTTGATCACTCAAATTGTTATGTATTAGCAGAGCTCGCACAAAGCATGAAGCACCATGGGTAAGAAAAATTGGTTGGCTATACATCCAAGAAATTTTGTTTCTGAGAAAATCCTACATACATCCACCCCTTCATGTAAGCTGGGGTGAAATTTCACATTTCAAGCACCTGCACGTTTCAGCAGTAAATCACATGTCCACCCTGGGCTTTTAGAGAGAAAAAAAAAACAACAACAAAGCCGGGTCTTTCTTTCAACTAAATTTTAATGTCTACGCTGAGGTGGATAACAGAGAAAGAGCTAGAGCAGTGAGATACAAAGAAAGAAAAACATGGAAGAAAAACATGGAAATTTTATAGTGGTGGTGAGAAGATGAGAAATGCAAGTGGCTCCCTAGATGAAAATGAGTGGCAGTGAAAAAAAAAGCAAACAGTACACATATGACATTTCCTCCATAAAACGGGTAACTAGGAAGTTTCTGGAACTGGAAGTGTCACTTTGTAGTCATGTAAAACAATGGCAAATGTACAGAAAAGAATGCTTCCACATGCAAAGTTGTTTTTTTTCTGCAAATTAGACCTAATGATATTTTTTGCCATTGCTTTCATCACTTAGCATTACTCAGTAAACTGTAAATATTAAAGAGAGTTTCACTTTTAGCCCAGGCTACAGTAAATCTATATACTTAGATGAGACATGCATGAGCAGGAGATCTGTACAATGGGAGTATTTTATGGCACAGGCAAAATGAAACAATTAGTCAAGATCTGTATCAAAGTTAATGAAGGTGTACCTGACTGATAGTTAATTCTTTTATGATTTCTTTACTTGTAGTTGCAAGAGAGTGGAGAAAAGTTATTAAATCGCACCAAACTTTCACTTGATGGACTGTTCAGAAAATTTTTTCCAGGAAAACGTTTCAAAGGTAATAGCTCATACAATGTGTTTTTTACCGAATGGTTGATTTTTTTTCATTGAATAATTGTATCCCCCTGTCCACTAGACAAATTAAATACAATGTAAATGTTAATTATCATTGTGATGTTAATTTTTCTATACTAGTAATAACCAAAGAATAATTGCAATTTGCCCCAATGCTGTGTGTTTCACCCTGATGGATAGTCAAAACACGCATGATCAGATTACTAGTGATGGAAGGTCCAAGTGTGTGTGATCAAATTGCATTCTCTGCATTCCATTCATTCTTAGTGGAAGCCCAAATGAATCCTGTCTACATACATGTGGCGCATGCGTAATAACAACCTGGAGATTAGGATTGCGGGCATCTCTTGCCACCCGCAATTTTATTGTTAGGAAGTGGGTAATAGCCTAATCTTAACTTTTGTCATGTTTTTAATATAACCATTGTATTTTGCTATTGTAGACAGACATAGAGCTATGGGTGATGTGGATGCAATGGTGGATATTTTTACCCACACACCATTAAAGAAACTGCTACATAATATGAAGTACTCATCAACAAAAGACAGGTTTGTGCCATTTAGATAAGACCTTTTAAATTCTTTTTTCTTCAAATATTTTAGATTCAAATTCTTCAGCAAGTGAGCTATCCATGACCGAGATTCTGAAACCTAGACTAGAGGCTGAACCCACCCAATAGCTGATCATCAAGGGTTTTATTTTGATCTTGAAGTCTAGATAATCTTCTGTACATCTGTGTGTATGAGTACATATCCTCGTCATGACAAGTCTTACAGCTGCAGGTGTCTGCTCTTTGGAAGGGTGGATAAATGTCAAGCACTTCAAGGACTCAAACTATTGAAAACTAACAGAAACCAAGACAAGGAGGTTTTCTTTGGTGGAAAATATCCATTTTATTACAATCTATTGAACATTCTTGTGCCACTGTACTATTTTTCACGTTCACTATTGTATAAGGACAAATTATTGATTTCTTGTTGTTGTGTGTTTATTTGAAAATCAAATGTCACTATGTACTAAGGTACATGATTTCCCTTTTGTTTTCAATTGTAGATTAGAGTATTACATTTCGCAGAGTGGCTTGAAACAGCAACAAGCAATTTTAGAAGGTTAGTGATCATGCAGATCAGGTGTTTAATTTTTTGTGCATGAATTGTTGTCATAACGGTCGGAACACACTGATTCACAAGTTGCAGCAACACGTCGCGGCACCAGAGCACTCTTTGCAGTTCAGGCGACACGTCACAACAACAATTAATTGCTTTGTGGGTACTGCTCCCAGGGGTAGGGGCATTGTGATTTGTCTGAGTCATTTATTTAATATTTCGCTAGCCAATTACACCATTCGTTCTCAGATCTTCGTGGGGCTGCCTTATGTTATCAGTTGTAACAATACCGTAAAAGTTTCAATTGATTTTTCATTTTCTTCGTAATTTTTTAACACTTTTTAATCTTTATATGGAAGTAGATCATCGCAGTTATAGACGCAACTTTTGCAGTTGCGAAAAGAAAGCCTTAAAAAATTCAGGCTTGTACGGGACTCGAACCCTTGACCTCTGCTATACCGGTGCAGCGCACCGGTGTATCACAGTTTCTGTATCGCAGAGGTCAAGGGTTCGAATTCTGTACATGCCTGAATTTTTTTCAGGCTTTCTTTTCGCAACTGCAAAAGTTGCTTCTATAACTGCGATGATCTACTTTCATGTAATTCATAACTTCGCTTTTTAATCTTCTCGTCCCTTTTGTTCTGCCTTAGAGAATTTTTGTAAGCTGGATGCATGTAGCAAGAACATGGCGATCAAGAGGTTGCTGAAAGAGGGGGTTACATATAACTCTCTGAGAACAATCTTTGAAGAGTGCTGCTCCTTCTTAGATTTTTATGAAACTATGAAAAGTTATGGAATTGAACGCAAAGTGGCTAAAGTCATGGCCTTGCACTTTAGCGGGAAAGGATTTCACAACCAGGGAGCTAAAACATATTCAAAGCTGCATGAAGCGAAAACTACTGCAGACGAGTCGACAGAAGATCAAAGTAGTGGAGATCATTCCGTGCAGCAAAAGAACTCGGAATGTGTACAGCAAGTAAAGTTGGCTACTGAAGAAAGTCGGCCTGAATCTAAATCGTGTGACCAGGATGCGGGGGGTGGCGAAGATTGGGAAAGAGAAGCAGCTACTGCAAAGCGTCAGAACTTTACTCTGAAATGCACTACCTCCACTCCTCTGAGTCTTATGAATGAAGATTTTTCATCCACTTCACCAGGAAGAACGGCGAGAAAACCGAGTCCGAAAGAAAGACGGCAAAAACCATCTGCAAATACTGGTTCCAAGGTTACGCATTCTCCTTCTGAAGCAAGTGAGTGTCGAAAATCTGATAGCATTGGCAAGAGGCCTCAAAGTAATGTCGCAGAAGCCGAAGTTAGGGCAAGACCATCTGCTCCAAAGTCAAGGACGGAGTCCAGGGAGAAGAGGCGTGAGGCATTTAACAAACCTGTAAAAAGTAACAAAAGGGACCCCAGAGCTAAGCGAGAGACTGTAGACTTGTCCCAGGAAAGCACAAAGGAGTTAATGAAGGGGAAGAAAACAAAATCAAAAGATAGACCTAAGGAAACTCCAGGTGAAAAGAAAACTAAACCAGTTGTTAGTGACATTTCTTCAAATGATTATGAAGCAGTAGCCGAGATCAAACAGAAATCCCAAGGCCCATCTTGTGATCCGAGTCCATCCTCAGATCAAGGTTCAACTGTGAAGTTGGATGAAGAGTCACATCCGACAGTCGTCTCCAGCCTTGACAATGATAGCTCCGAGAAAAGGGACGGACAAAATTTCACCCGTATTTTTGTGGGTGACATCGCTATTCTTGTTCCGGTTGACGACAGTGAAGTTTGTGATTCTCTCACAAATGAATTACGTGACACTAATTCGGATAGGCAAGGCGAGCTCGAAGAAACTAGTGTTGCTGACAATGTTAGGAGCGGGGATGCATCCTCCGTATGCTCAGAATCGTTAACTGTTGCTGTGAAACCTGTACAAATGGAAACTACGATTCTTTATGAATCTAGTTCAACTTCGCCACCATCACCTCACAGAACTCTCTCAGCTCGCCATGAAGACGTAGCCCATCTTGACAGTATTCCCCAGCATACTGAAGTGGTTGATAAGGAGCAAGATCACAGTTCCAAGTGTGAGGAGACTCTTGTACTGGCTTCAGGCATTGACGGTAGTCATAGCCAGATGGAATCTGAATTTAAAACAGTAGCATCAAGCGAAAGGAATTGTTCTAAAGGCTCCAGTGAAGAGGCCGGGGTATGCGGCGACGACAAAAGCGACATTACTGATAAGACCACCGCAAATAGTAACGAGGCCGTGTTTGCCATAGAGGAAACCAACAACCAAAATGAAACGAATGATTCAAGTGTGAGCGTTGCTACTGTCCAAGTTCAAGCACTCCAAGTGGAGATTGAGGCAAATCACCCAGAGTCGGTGACTGAGGAGAATGGCTGCAAAAGTGGTCCGTACAAAGAGCTGGAACAAACGCCACTTGCTTCCTTGTCGGAAGATTCCTTAGACCAGGTGTCGTCTGGACGATTTGTGATGAGTGAAGGATTTGCTTGTCAGGACATGAATACAGATGAAGTGGACGAAAATCGTCGTGATCTACAGGCTGAACTTTCATCAGATACCAGTAGTACAAGTGATGAGTCTTCAGTGGATACATTTTCACGTCAACCTCCACTCGGTGCAGAGCGAGGGTTTACACCCGACACAGTGCAACAGTATCCTCATCAAACAGCGTGGGTCGAGAGCATGAATGAAGGAGTACATGCGATGCCTTATGCTGCAGGGGTGAATTATCCACAGGGATCTTTTCCACCTTATGCTAACCCGTATGGAACATTTTATCAAACACAACAGGCCCTTTCTCTTTTCAAGCCTTATTTCCCATCATTTGGCTACCCCAATCAGATTCGACCCATGGTTTCACCCCACGTTTTGCAGCCCCAGTCTCAGATATTCCTGCCACCATACCATCAGTACAGAAGTCAAGTGATGATGCCTGGTGCAGTCCAGAAAGTTACTGGATTTCCTTCAGCCGCTGTGCAGCCATCGCAGTTTCGACCACAGGTTTACCAGGTTTTGCAAGGACCCACTGGTTACGCGTACCCTCCTGTGCCATTCTACGGTAATCCCAGCCAGCAAGCTCAAGAATCGGCCAGTGTGCTGTTTGACGCTGAAAGTACGCAACCTCAACATATTCTGACCCACTCGTCCCAAACGCCTGAGTTCGCAAGCCCAGCAATGAGTGAGCAGAAAGAGGAATCTGGTTCTGAGTTATCGTCTTCTACCTCCAGCGGTAGTCCATTCGAAATAATCACTTTACCTGCGAGCGATTCCTTTCGTCCATTGTGCGACTACTCCACCCAGCGTGAAGAATCGTTTTCTGGACAATTGGAACCTGAGTTTGAGAACTCACTGTTAGTGGCAAACGAAGGCAGTAATGTTGCTCAGGTCGTGAACTCAGGTGTCAGTGAGATGGCTAACGATAATGATAAATACCTGGACAATACTAAAGACTCGGGTTATTTAAAACAATCCAAGGAGTATTCGAGCCAGCCTCTGCCTCAAGATAAAATGGACTCTGTCCATAAGCAGATCACTATCTTGTCCCGAGATGAGAGTATAGTGGCTATGGAAAAACGGCTTTCACCTGATGGGAGCTGCGTGGACACTGGTGGTGTAGATTTTGTAAGCGACACCATTTTTGTACACAAAATGGGAAACGGTTTGGAAGAAAAGACAGCGTGTCAAAGAACTTTGCAAGACCAATCACAAAACAACGGTGATTGTAGGCCAAGTAGTGAATCAGCAAAACCCAAATGTCCATCTCCAAAGCCCCAGCGGATCAAAGAAAACCTTAGTAGAAGGAACAAACCTGCAATGTCCCAACCAGTTTCTGGCCAAAAGGCTGGTGGAGGTTCAAGTGATATCATGTCCGTTTCTGATCCGGCGTCAGTTAGACAGTCATTACCACCAAAAACACTTGATCAACATAGAAGTGAATCCGCTGTAACGTACGGTAAAAAGACCAAAACAACTCGCAGTCCCAAAACTGTGAGGTTCTCAAATGAATCCACTGAACATGAATCGACGAATGGTATTTCCCGTGCTACCAATGATGATAATACCCAGTCCTCGTGTCGAGGCCAAAGGACGGAACCTTTTAGAATGGATGAACGTGATGCTAGTAGGCTGTTAGAGGGCAGATCACAAAGGCATACAAAAGAAAGAACTCTTGGCACAGAGTCAACACCGGTCTATGCCAAGAGAAACTCCAGAAAAAGAATTAATAACAGAATGAGGAGACCATACGGCGAGAGAAACAGACCACCAAAACATCCTCCAAGTGCAGTGAAAGCAGAAACGGATGCTAAAATAGACCCGAATAACAACAGAGGATAGAGGGAGGTCTTGTACTAAGAAGTTACTTAGCCTTTTTACTGCCAATGTTTTGAGACTGAGTACCGACGTAACTAATGGAAAGTACTTTTGTTGGGGTTCAATTGAATAGGAAACCTTGTACAGCTTAGCAAACAGTACCACAGTCAGGTACGGCTAAGTTGCTTTCATATGAGTGGTCACCCTTTAGGATTTCATCCCTCAATCACCGCGCCAGCAAACAAGGAGTGCCACAGAAATGTACCGCACAGTAGCTTTCATTTGAATAGTTACTCCATTGGACATCACTCATAGATTTAAATGTGAGATTTTCCTTTCATGTCGCTTTAACTGACTGTGGCAGTTGAAGGTTTAAACTGTACCCTTAGGAACGAATGAAGGTTATATCAGTCGCGAATTGTCTACGAGAACTACTTTTGTACCGACGTTGTGTTGTAAAAGTAGTCAAGCTGGTACAGGGTGACGTTAGGGACGTTACAATAGGGAGCTTAAGCAACAACGACGGCGACAGCGACGGCCACGAAAGCGTCGCTTAAAAAGTGAAGTCGCGCTGCTTCAAACTTTATCGCGCTTATTCCATCTCGTTCAGTTCGTCAAATGTTGGCAATTTTTTCTCGCGTTGAATTCTAAAAGACTATCGAAGTTTAAGAAAAGAAAGATAAAGTTGTTGTCTTGAGTTCGCGTTCTCGACAAAACGTGAAATTAGGCAGTTTCACGTCGTAGTCGTGCAGTGACGCCAAAGTAATGTACAAAAAAGCGTGATGCACGTGATGAGTTGTCGTTTTGCCAATCTAAACCTATTGCTTTTTTGTCGTTCTCGTTGACGTCGCTGTCGTCGTTGCTTAAGCTCCCTAATGTGACAATGGCGACGCGAGTGAAAACGTCACTGAACAACTGACTCGCCGTCGTTCAATCTTTTTCTCGATTATAACCTGAGATCACGTTCTATTTTCGTTTCGCTTTGAAAATTACATTCCGGCGGGCAAGGTAGCCGTTAGAGAGAATGTATGAGAACCGCTAAAATTAGGCCTGATCTCAGGTTATCTCAATTATTCCAGATCTTTCAGTCTTTCAATACCGTAAACTTCCGTTTATAAGGCCTAGGCTTATACAAGTTCGTTAGCAGTTTTAGAATAGCTTATAAGCGGGGGTTGGGGATGGAGCTAATAACCGGACTGAAAAAAGCGTTTCAAAACAAGCAATATAGTAGTGCTGATCAAAGTGCTTTCTTAATTTACTCGCTGTCAGGAGATGGGCTCCTGTCGCTTTTAAGTAAGCTTCAAAACGTCGTAATAAATCGAAATCATTTCAATACAGGCTAGACGGGGGCTTATGAGTGGAAGTTTACGCTAGCTGAGAAATCAAACTTAGGCTGAAAAGAAAGAGACGCGTCCGAGCTCAGAAAGGTACAGTAAAATTTATCGCCTCGCTGTTCAGTTTTTCAAGGGAACTTAAATTTTGTTTATTTCACGTCGTAGTTATGTAAGGTCGGCACAGAAGTTGAAAGAAAAGCGTTATACGCCTCTAGACTTGTTGTGCTGCTTATCAAACGTATTGTTTTTGACGTCCTCGTTCCCGTCGCCTTCATGGTTTGGTAAGGTCCCTATTTTTTTCATTGGACGAAGAAATGTTTAGTTGAGTTGAGTTGACCATTTAAACTGGTTGCGTTTCTGTTTTGTTGAACTGCGCCTTTGTGCAAGCGCAACTACTTGGAAATGATTGTTGCCTTTGAATAGGAAGGTAGTTAAATCAGAAATTATATTTTTATCAAATCGTGAAAAATTAAGCAATGTATTGAAAATCGCGCTTTATAATCGCATCCACTGATAAATGGTCATACTGTAGGATTTCATGCACATGCCCAAAAAGTAAAATCGTTGAAATAAGCCTGTATATCATAATAAACAGTGCAGTACTACAGAAAAGCACTGTAGTAGCTTTCGTTTAAATCTGTCACATTAAGCCCCACCGAAACAGTCATTACATGAGCTACGATTAACCATAGAAGTATTTGCATTGTTAGATATCCTCAATTACTGGGTTTTTATGGTTAATGTTTATTCTGTAACATGGTTTCCATCAAGTAAGAATCAAATGCACTGGAAAACAGAAAAAAAGACTGTTTTAGTATTGCGTTTTTTTTATTATTTAATTTAGGAATGTTTTTCTTGAAAATGAATATTACAGTTGTTTTCTTCCACCGTTGTTGATACATCAATATTTCCTTTCCCTGTGTGATAGAAGTCGGTGTTATCGCTATATTACTTATGACGGTTAGTGTTTAAAATAAATCAATTACGTTATTACGGGCGTCTCAGAAGTTATGTTTCTCTGAAGTTATGTTTTGTTTTGTTTATAACAAAGCAATTAGCATGCGCCATCAACAAAGACTTGATCTTATACCATATCTTATTGGCCATTTCGGAGTTGGGAGTTGCGTAGGGAACTGGCGCGAGTTTCAAATTTCAACTAATCGATAAACTGACACCACCATATAAAAGATCATGTTGAGATTGGCTATTTGATCAAGTTTGGTGCTCTAAAGTTGAACAGGGATCAAGTTACGACTTGAAACATGGTTAAAGATCCATACAAACGTCTGTAATTTTGTGACAGCGTCCCCCAAAACCAAAACGTAAAAGTCTACGTACAATCCAAATCATCGTTCCCTGAATTTAAATTACCGTGAAAAAATTACGCACTGACGACTGCTGTTCTCCAAGCCTTCTTCTGGGTTACACGCTTTACGACTGAACTGACTGAAGTTAAGAAGCCGAAATATTCTGGCCTTTAAGAAAGAAAATATTAAACACTGAATAATGATCAATGACCTAAAAACGAACTTTTTTCCGCAGGGTATGTTTAACTTCAGGCATTTGTTTAAAGGTTTTGATTTCATTCTTGTTCTTCACCGATGGCATGTTAGCTTCCATGTTACTGACGTTCTGGTTGACTACTGTTAAAATATCGAGAAGATGGTCATAAACAGCACGTTCACGGAATGCCTCAACTAGGCCGCGAACATAGTAGCTTCCTAGAGCCTCATGTCTGTACGATACATACTCATCGACTGTAGAAAATGCGTACAAAAAATCTGCATGTGTGGGGACTCTGGGTGCAGGTTTCTTCACGGCATCAATGGGTGAATCAACTTGGTTGGGACTAAGCTGTTCGTAAGATGAAATACCGGTATCAGCGGAAACAGACACCCCCTCGTCTTCTCCGTCACCTCTGCACGCCTGGATGAAAAACAGCTTTGGCTTACCGCTTAGCGTATCGCTATTGCTGAACATATCATGAAGAGTCTGAATAGGTATTGTGTTACCGTCAGAACAGAACACCTCACCACTCCTGCCATGGCTCATGAGCCACAACACAAAACAATCATAAGCACTGTGATCCTGGCAGGCAACATCATCAAGTTCGTCTAAGAGCTGTAGTCTTGAAAGGTTCTGTCTCCTTTGTATCTCAAAACCGAGGGCAATAAATAGCTCTTCAACTTGACGAACATCTTCTTCGGACCCGTGACGAGGTGACTGTTGTCCATGTTTAGGATGAAGGGTAAAAGACGCGTTATTAATGATCAGCGTTATTCCTCTTGGGCGACCTGTCATGTTGTAAACATCGTCCGTACCAGGGTGATAGCCTGGACGCAATGCTGGGCAAAAAAACGACACAAAAGTTTAGTTAAGCCGATTTTTTCTTGAGGTTAAGGGGTAGCTGTACACAGGCTATCTAGTACAACAGACTTTTAAGTTGATATAATGAAAATAAAAATGAATATTGAGTACATCTTATCTTATATCTTAACGTTTTATAAGCGACTAAATAAAGAGAACAGTTTTGCCACTCTTGACTCCATACTGAACTACAGACTGATTGTCCCTATTCTTTCAACTGTAGTCCGCGTAGCAGGCTCTTATAAGTAAAATGGGCGCAAGAAAGAACGCGGCTTGCTAGGGGGACGCGCGTGTCCCCTTCGCGCTCATTTGACATCACGTGATCTCACCTTTAACTGCAAACCACTTCTCCACTCCAGTGACCGTTGGTACTTCAGTACAAAATCTCTTTGGACAGTGACTGAGTTGCCCTCCTTCAAGAATTCTAAGAAGACACAGACAATCCTCGTCATCACAAGAGTCGTCAACGTGCCTAGAACAAGTGTCTTCCACTTGCTGACAGCCAGGACATGCAACACGAAGGTCCCACGTCAAACTGCTCAACCAAGGGAGCTCACGTCTAAGGTTTTGCATTGTCCCCTCCAGAAACGTTCGCACAAGAATTGCTACTTCGTTTGCTTCTGGAAATGATGGTCCACAGACGGACTGGGTTGGCTTCAAGGCGATCTTGATGAATCTTTTCTTGCACAGAAGAACCAAGTGATAACTGAACTTACTCTTTATGAAGAACAGCGCTGCCGCATGGAAAAATCTCGGTGGCTGCCCGAATCCATTCCCAGAGCACCATCTGGTGCATCGTGACACAAGCTGCCAGAAGAAACCGTGAGGAACAAAACCCCCCAGAAAATTCAAGTACAATGGACATGGATCTGACGGCGATGGCCCCATTTCACAAAGGGCGTCAGGTGGCGACTTCAGTTGACAGGGTACAAAGTACATTTCATTTGTTGGCGAGGTGGCAAATTTGACGATCAATCCAAACTGCTCCATCATGTTCAGGATATCCTCCTTGATAAGGCCTTGCTGCTGGCAACACTTGGAGAACACATGATCAACCAGCTCCATGTCAAGGACACCCGTCGTCTCCATTTCTTTCCACAACCTGGAATTTCTCGGTTCCTGGAAGACCAAAATGGAAGACTCGCAATTAAATAAAGAAAGGAAGAAAAAATAAATAAAATAACGATTTTAATAGAGGTAGCACATCCACCAAGTGGTTCTTCGTCTACCTGATTCCTGGTCGAATTGATTCCTTATCGTCGGGTATTGGAATTTATCTTATTTGGAATTTTGTTCAAACGTCGGATAGCGCTAAAAATATCCAGCGGATAGCGTAAGGGCTGTAAAATGGATAATGATTTATCCGGTGGAATTTATCTTTGAACAACCAGATTAAAAAAATGAGTCATAGTGTCAACGTACTAACGGTTAAAGGTTGCGAACATCAAACCTCGGTTTGAAACATGTTAGTGGTAGTGTGACAATAGACGGATTAAAATGCACCAATGACATTACGAGTCTTCATAGCCAATAACATCAAAGCGTAACTGACAGTCGACCAATAACATCGTGACTTAATTGACCAATCAGGTCAATAGCCAGAGTTTAATACCATCAACTGACGTGATACAATTCACTTTGACTCTGAAGATGACTACCGCATGGGTTGTCGAAACATCAGTCACTGTTAATGACAATCAGTCACTGTCAATGGCAACAGTCCATTTCTGGACTACGTTCACCCGGACGATCATACTCAACCTACTTTTGAAATGACTCCTGGGATCAAACCTTTCACAATTCATAAGTAAGTTAAACGGTATGAGTCAGATTGGAATTAATAAGGTCATTGCAATCTAAGCCCCGCAAAGCAATTCATACGATTTAAGCAGCTGTAGCTGTCATTATGAAACTGAAGTGTTTGTCTCTCACCATGTCACTGAAAGAGCGAACTGTTATGAGTTGTTTGAAAACGTCAATAAGCCATTGAGCCCGAAGTACAACTGTGTTGCGGTGTTTAACAATCATGCCGAGATCATGATAGAAATCCAACATTGTGGCAGCTTCATTCTCTTCTTCGATGAAACACACTTTCTCAATTATTGTCCGAAGCTGATCGAGGTTCAGAAAGTACACTCTCTCAGAAACCAGAGCTTGGACAACTTTTTCGAAGTTAAACCACCTGAAAAATAAATATCAAAACTTGTCTGCTTCTTGCTTTTTATTTTCCTGACAGGATGGACTTGGTCTATTGAAAGAAATGTTCTTTCTGGCTAAGCTGTGAAAATGAAAAATTGTTAATATCTGTTTTTAATGCCAAGAAACAGCTCTGTGACAGAAATGGAAATATTTCTCTTCGGCGTCCGTCTGTGTTTTCGCCATTATTGATAATCAAATTTTTATTTGGCCACCATCTTGATATATAGCGTCTAAATGTTAACCATCTACCTGGGATTTTTAAAGGTGTCATTAGCGTTGCTATCATTCGCATAGTTGGCTTGTCTACGCCCCCGAGAGAAACGTCTGCAGCGAGCCGTCTGTGGTTTTCATTGAGCATGCGCCTTAGACACCTCCAAATTCTCCTGGGGAAGTAAACAAGCCAACTACGCGAATAACAGCAACACAAACGACTCCGCACAAGATAAAAGCCATGCAGGAAAGTAACCGCTCCTGGAAGGGTAAATGTTGTCAGTCCAATCGCTACATTCAGAAATTCTGGCGAATTATAACTTGTTACCTATTTATTTGAAATTATCATAAATAAATAAACCATTAATTAATTAAGCGTTGGAGACTGACTTACCGAATTGGTACCTCCTCTCCCATGTATGGTTCTTGTTTTAAAACTTCAATCATTCGTTTCTGAAGTGCGGCAACTCCCTCATCAGATGAACCTTGGGTATTGTCGACTGAAAAGAAAGGACGGATCACGTGACGCTCGCAGTTCATTCCTGATATTTCTCTTTGAATCTGTAATTCCATCTTTGTTATGTCTTCATGTGGTTTATCTGCATGTGTTCCTACAATAAACACTGGAGGGCGACAGTAAGGCAGATCTGCCAATTTTGTTTGCCTTTCGTTCACTTGTGATTGTAATGAACACATAGAACTGAGAGAAACCAGCCACGATAACAAATTTTCCAAATTGCTTTCGTTATTTGGGTTAGCGAGAAGAATGTCATGGACTCCTTGACGGAAACAAGGCTGAGCGGTTTCTTTTAATCCCTTGTTGAGATTGTAAACCAACAAATAAACTGCTCGTGGTGACAAAAATACTGGATATGAAGCGTAATAAAGATGCTGTCCGGCAAAGTCCCACAGATCAATACTAATGCGATGTTCCGCCGCAGTAGCATGAGTTGGTAGGTTTAAACCATTTAAGTACTGGAGAAGATGCTTTGTAAATTGGTCTGGAGGTAAAGTGGGATCGATTTTCAATTCAGGAATGTAAGGTTGACTTGTTTCGCCTTCACTGTAGATAACGTCTTGATGAATAACTCGAGCTTCTTGTGTTTCCATGCTTTCGTCTCCATTCTGAATCTAGAAACAGGGTTAATTAATCTATATGGCCCAATCTTTGTACGTTCCTTCCCATTTTTTGAAGGAGTTACCAAAATGTCAATGCTAGCTACAGTCGGAACCTCCCCTTGCGACCATTCTCGTTAATTAGCGACAAGCTCTAGTTACGACCACCTTTGTGAAACCCCGTTTGAACTGAAACTTAAACATTAAGATGAAAAGCTCTCGTAAGCGACCGTGGCCACTTTTGGGATTACCCAAGTAAACTTTTTCTTTGTTTTTAAGCTCTCTAAGCGACCACTCCGAGTCCTATTAATATAAATCAACACTTAAATGAAACTGTACACTGCACTAATGGTTCGTTGATAAAGATCTTGGGGTTATTTTGGTCTAAAAACTGGACGTAAGGTTTAGCCGTGTCTATATCAGATATAAAGACACTCATTAAACATTAATTTCTTTTGTTTTACTTTATAAATTATTAATGATTTCCTAAAGCTCTCCTAAAAGACCACTAGCTCCACCCTCTATTGTTTTACCATGTGGTCTCTTACAAGAGCTCATTCTCATATTTAAGCTGCCAGCTCTAGTTATGACCACTTTTTCGAATTTCCGACGTGGTTACGAAAGCTTTGGCTGCATTTGAAGAACATATAACACAATTCTTCTCATTGAATAGTTCAGTCCGATATAGCAAATATTTTTTTGTAAAATTCAATCATAGAAAACCCTAACATGCCTTTTTAACACTTTTTCACAGCGAAATTATGCATCCATTTTTGAAGGCTGACTACGAACTAACCTGTGTACTTTGATGAAACTGAGCACTGTCTGTTTCATCTTGGCTTTTGGATTCCATCTCTCTTTCTCTCCTTTTCTGACGCCTTAGTTTTGTCATGAGTTTGTCCAGCCAAGAAGAGACCTGTCAGCAAAAAGTGCGAATAAAGATCAACCTTCTGCCAAGATGCCGGGGGGTGGTACTCCCTTATATAAGCTATATAGTTATGTGCCGCCCCATTGGGTAGGGTTTTTGCACCTTTTGAAAACGGGTATACACTTTGCCTATTTGGGTCTGGAATCGGGTAGGGTTTAGGGGGAACTATACGGAAGTGTATGAACGTATTTATCGTTTCAGTTCCAAGTGAATAGGAAAGAAAGAGAAATATGAGAATTCTAAATCATGTGGATTTAAAGTATTTTTTTTCTCTGCCCTCCAATTCAAGTAATGATAAAATAGTTTCTGCCTAAAGGCCAGGTCTAAAAACGGGTATGGACTTTCGAGGTCTAGTCTGAAAACGAGTGTGGAAAAGTACATTTTTTGGTCTGAAATAGGGTCAGGATCTGGAGAACCGGGCAGCACAACCCCAACAAGAACTCCCAAGAGTACCCCCCCACCCCCGGGCCAAGATAATGTTTCTCTATTGCTCAAAATTTGCAATAGAAAACAATCGGTTAAACATCGCATAAAATTTAGATCTTACTTATAACAACATCATCAACAACAAATTAGTCAACGAGGCCGTTGGGTCTGAAATATCTTACCATTTTCATACCCTCCCCTTGTGTTTCTGTAAATTCAGAGTACTTTGACATGTACTTTGGCATTCAAAGGGAGTGTTCAGACAGTAATTATATAATAAACGAATCGACAACGATCTCCCGTGGTCAATGCTGTTGTCGACCATAGAAACAAAGGAATTCAGAGTGTTCAAAACTCAGGGGGGACAACTACGAGCCGCAGGAGGGTAGTTTCATTGTAAAGTTTTGAACATTTTTACGTCACGGGTCAGTTAAGACCTTACATGTACAGACCATGGAAAATTTTTGTCGACTTGTTGTTGTTGTTGTTGTTTTTTTTAACCAGGCGTTGACGTCATTTCCGGTAAAGTTTCTTAGAAAATCGAGAAAAAGAGAAAAAAAATTACGTTATCTTCAGGGCCTATACTCTCGTCGATCTTAGTTCTCAACCAATCAGCGCGCGAAAATGAGAGTTTTGAAATGATGTCGCTGATAAACTACCAACCTGTCTGTTTTCAGAGTGTATCTCCACTGAAATATTTTGAAGTTCTGAATCCCGATCTGTTTCCTTCAGTTCTTGAATTTCTGTTGCCACCATCCTTGCAATGTCGTTCACAAAGTAAGACACGTCGAACTTTTCATCCGTGCGTTGCCAGTTCTTGACATGGTCAACTTCAATATCGAATTTGGATGGATCAACTTCAATTCCTTCTGTACTCGCTTCCTCAGGGTCAAATGGCAGACCTAAGAAGGACTTCTTCAAACTTGTCTTTCCCGCACGATCTTGACCTATCAGCATAATTCGGGCTCGGTACACCTTTACTTTTCCTGTCTTCAAAGCATTTTCATAGGCAAGCTTTGCTCTTGGTCCTCGTGCTTCAATCTCGTTTGGAACTATCGAATGAAGGGATATCAGTTAGTTACATTTTCAAAGAAAGAATTGGCAACACCGGTATTGCATATTTCATAGTATTCTGATCTAGCAGGGCCTTTTTAATGTGTTGTGTTCGAAACATTTATTAGTTGTCACTCTATAGAGAAAGAAAAATGGAAACTAAAGACAAAAAGAGGTTAATTTACCTACGTTTTGGTTTTCTTTAGATATCAAGTTATGTAACAATCCGAATCTGAGTTTCTACACCATAGTGTATTTGGATGGTGTTTAGGCCTTTGTACATTATGCTTTTGTTTATTCCCCACTAAAATTGTCCACCTTAATGCTTCATTATGCCCACTAACATTCGTCAGGGTTTGCGTATTTCTAGTTAGACGAATATTGTAAAAAAACCGATCATGATAAGCTTTTTACCTGAAGAACTACGAATTGGAAATTCATTTGCATCTGCGTTCCCATCTTCTTTGCTATCCGTTGAATGAAACTTCCCATCTAAAGTTCCTTTTTGTAAATACTTTTCAAGTTTTCTATACTCGTTAGCTGTTTTGTCGTTTTTAAGTCCACGATACGACCTTGCTAAAATATCGTACGATTTTCTTTCTGCTTCCCTATTTGCCAATTCTTTGGCAAGAACCAGCTCTTGTTTGCCATATTCTATGCTTTGTCGGTAATCTTCAATCTCGTAGTATGACCTAGCCAGAACAGAGCACGCGGCGGCTTCCCGCGCCCTGTTATCCGTCTCCTTTGCAATGCGCAGCGCTTGTTTTCCGTATTCTATGCTGTGTTTGTATCCGCCTACCTCGTAATACGGCCAGGCTAGAACAGCGCATGCTTCCGCTTCTCTCTTTCTGTTTCCTACTTCCTTTGCAATGCTCAGGGCTCGTTTGCCACATTCTACGCTTTGTTTATAGTCACCAACCTCGTAATACGAGCCTGAAAGGACAGTGCATGCGTCTATTTCTCTTTCCCTATTTCGTACATCCTTAGCAATGCTCAGTGCTTTTTTGCCGTACTCAATACTCTGTTTGTACTCTCCAATCCGCAGATAAGACCTGGCCAGAACATCGCACACTGATGCTTCCCTTTCTCCATCTCCCTCTTCCCTTGCAAAGGCCAGTTCCTCTTTGCTGCTTTCTATACTTTGAATGTAGTCCCCAACCTCGTAAAACGACAAGGCTAAAATACGACAAGCCGCTGCTTGTCGTTCCTTATCCCCCACTTCCCTGGCAATACTAAGCGCTTGCTTGCAGTATTCTATACTTTGTCTGTACTCTCCTACGCAGTAATACGACTGAGCTGTAACATCACATGCTGCTGCTTGACGTTCACTGTTTCCTACTTCCGTCACAATTTGTAACTCTTGTTTGCTATACTCTATGCTTTGTTTGTAGTCTCCTATACAATAACAGGACAAGGCTGCAATGTTGCAGGCAGCGGCTTCTTGTTCTTTATCACCGGTTTCTTTAGAGATGTTTCGCCACTGTTTTGCATACGCTATACTTTGGTGGTATTCTCCGCGTCTGTAAGATTCCTGGGCATTTTGTTCAACTTCCATCATCCACTATCCCTTCTTTCTGTCACGAGCTGAAACATAACATAATCAAAACAAGCAAACAAACAAAATTCCATTAAAAAACAGACCTCATGAAAATTTCACTCGTTGTTCAACGCGAATAGGACCGTATTTTCACCTTCTGGATCAATGGATCAGGAACTCGAGCCACGACAAATGCCCGGGCGTCAACAATTTCCAGCAAGGTTCAAAAGGTGGTCAGCTTTACACGCGGTTTTTGTTTTTTTTTTTTTGGACCTGTAGTGAGGGACATAGCTCTAGGAGAGCCCTTATTCAAAGTGTTTTCCTAAACATGCCCTCAAATTTTTAGATTTGGAGACTATTCCCTTGATCCAGCAAGTGCTATTTTCATGTTATAAACATAAAGAATATCAAAGTCCCGGGATCAAAGCGAATCAGCTGGTGGGCTCCTGAGTGAAGAAAGGAAGGAAGGAATCACGAATGAGAGGACAAGAGACGTATCCTCTTTACAACAACAGTAAAAATAACAGTGCTTCACAACAGAACTCGGGCGTCAGCATACAAAGGTGCCACTGGCAGCAGAAACACTTGTGAAGGCAAAACCACAACGACAAACCAGTGAGGGTCCGCCGGACCTTTAGTAGACATGGATCACTAAAATCCAAATTTTAAACTTAACAGTAAACTGATCGTTACGGCAGGAAGAGTGATAGAAAAATATAGAAAGAAAACAAAAATAATGTGGTGAATTGTATTTGCCCGATATTTCGGTTTGCAACACAAACCTTCAACGGGGGCTATAAAAGAAAAACAAATACAGATAAAAGATGAACAGCAGCTGTCAATCCATTTATAAGCTTACTACACCCACCCAGCCCATGATGTGAATGATGTGTGAAGGTTGACCACACCACCCGGGGTCTATGTCCCCTACTCTTTTCGAACAGTGGTGTGGGTTACGTGTAAGTGTTGTGAGACGGGACCTATACGGTCATTACAAAGGCAGTACTTTCTTCTCAGTTATTTTAACTAAAGACCCTGAGTTTTGGTCCGGCCAGGGTTCGAACCCGCGACCTCCCGCTCTGCAGACCAGCGCTCTGCCAACTGAGCAAACCAGGCGACGGTTAAAAAAAACGCGGCATTAGTTTTAATCCGACGGATTTAGTTTCAAGTTACTGTATTTCGGAGAGCAACACGCAACTAGTCTCCTTGGGCGCTTTCCATTTAGTCAAAATTTCCGGAATTTCCGGTTCAGCAGTAAATAGAACACGTTTCGTCGGTTCGTCCCACTGGAAAATTCCCAGAAAAAGTGGAAAATCTAAAAAGGTCGGCCCGTTTTCCCGGTTGGAATTTCCGAACGGAATGTCGTGTTCCATTTACGTTTCTCGTAGTTTGTCTAGTTTGTACCAGTTCCAGGTCCACGGTCAGGCACCGCGACGTACCGGGGTCTACGACCAAATGGAACAACTTTTTACCAATTGGAAATTCCACTTTTGCTCCCACCGAAATTTCCGGTTTTTTTTCCTAAATGGAAAGCGCCCAAAATTGGCAGCCACTTGATCAGGAGTCACGCATGCAAAGGAGACTGTCACGCAACCGGATCATTGTGTCAAACTTGAAAGACAGACGACATAGCCAGCTTAATCAAAAACACATCATTCCGTTTATTTCCCCGTTAACACTGTTACGTAAACCCGATATAGGCTTACTCAAAGACTCTACTGTAAAACTAAAATGACTGTTACTTTCTATTGTTGTGAATTTTTTTGAAAGTTATTTTTAAAATCTAGCTGATCTGTATGTCGCCTTTGTTTCCGATTAAGTGGGTCAAGAGCCTAGGTTAGTCTTGATTTTGTCCGCGCACGTAGTGTTTTCCTGTTTTGATCTTTTGTTTTTACTTGTACTTGAATTTACGCTTAGCTCGCGAGTTTTAAGTCATTTTAGGGATATTCTTCGCTTACCATTGTCAGATCTGTCAGTTTTTCATAGGCCGGTCGTGTTTTTGGTGTTAGAGCTGACCTTGGTTCTTTAGTCTCGTTGAAGTTCCTGTTTTGTATGCTTGGTCCTTCCGAGCAGTTTCACAATATTAATGTATTCCGGCTACAAACTATACCGCAGTGATACCGAGACGGTGGGCAATTGGCAATATTGTTTCTCAAACCATTCGTCTCCTTAACTAAAAGTTTCGCCCCACCAGGTGTAATCCCGATGTTTTTTATCAGCTTACAGAGAGCCAAGTGAAGCGGTTGCAGGAATGGTTGAGGAAATGTGGATAGGGCTATTGAAGTCGAAATTAGTAAATATTTAGGTATGAAAAGCAGTCTGCTGTTCTGGCGAAACCTCGGTTCTCTGAACACCTCTTATCAAGGACGTACAAGTATCACTTCCATTCCATCTCTAATCTGGATCTCAATCCTTGTTTTCTATTTGTTAATCATATGCCCTGTTTATAGTTTTCAACGCAAGATTAGCACTTGGTCCTCATCTCTTTTCGAACCCGCTGACAATATAAAATAAATATTTTTTGCTGTAATCTCTATGATAATCGACCTCCCCCAGCAAGGAGCCGCAATCGCGAATCGGCTTCTGTCCCAGCTTATATTTACCAATGTATTAGGGATAAAAGCTTTGATTCTTACCCAAAAGCTACGGCTTTCACGAGGTGAACTCTTCTGCCGAACATGATGAACTAGAACAAAGGGAAATGACAACCAGTTTCGATTTGTGCTTCCGCTAGGACGATGTATATCAATATTTGACCTTTATATGTACCGGCCTTAAGCCATTAGGCAAAAATTGTCACGCGAGTTCAATGATCCGTACACGCGAGGCGACATCTCAACAGTTGCAGCTAAATCATAAATAGGCGGTTTTTGTCAGGAATATTGTCATGCATGACTTTATTTGAGGTTTCTTCAGGCGTCTTGATATAACCCTTTTTATTAAATACTGTACCCATTTGATTAGAGTCTATTGCTGGTTTTCAGTTTCACGCCATTCAAAATAGATCAAAATAAAAATCAAAACAGTCCAGAATCTAGGAAATGAAAGAAGGGACATATACAAAGACCCTAGCCAAGATTCAGGTCAGAGGAATATTTCGTATACGAGATATCCGAAGAAATGTTTTACCCAAACTTATAGAGATTTGCATGGAGACGCAATGCTGGTGCTCACCTGGATGAGCTCCAACATGGTGCACGGATCTGTTATCGAGTTTTGCTACAAAAGCCAAGCGTGAATTTATTCTTCGAGAAACTCATAAACATTAAAGTGGTACTTTTTCTAATACATGAACAGTTTAGATAGCAAAAGTTTCTGAAATAAGTCACTTTTTTGACTTACATGACATCTCACTTGGCCATCATGTAAAAGCCGCGTCACGCAAAAGCTTAGAAATTCAAGCGTACTCTATCACAAAGCCAAAAGAGAAAATTTGTATGAAAATTAGTTTTCAGCTGCTCTAATGCATAGTGAAAGTAAAATCTCGGTAGGATCGATAGTTTTAGTGACGTCATGTGAAAACCAACAATTTGTTCCAAAGCACAGTATCATTTTTTTTTAATGATTACGACACAAAGGAAAAACGAAACTCAAAGCTTATCAGTGATCGTGTAAATCACAAATCTAGGAGGTGGTTTTTCATTATTTTTATGGAGTTTTTCACTTTCCAGAATTAGGCTTTCCATTTTATGTCCAAAAAAAGTTGAAAATGGACATAAACTGATCCCAGGTTATAACGCAGAAAAAGCAAAAACATAGGCCAAAGTTTGTTTCTACACTTACACCTAACTTTCAATATTGATCTGATGAGTCCTAAGCTATGTAAAGTTGTAAGTTATGCAAAATTATCATGACGTAAATACAGTAATTTATACATAGACCTTGGGCTGCCTGTGCGTGCTGTAAAAGCGTCTATACTGCCCTCTCCGCGGTCTGTTTACTTCACAGCACAGCTTGTGAATAAATTTTACACAGCTGAAGAGGCCGAGGCCTACTGCGAAAGCCCGTTTTGTTTGTTGCAAGAAGAGGTACGTACATTGCAATATTTTATGTTTCAAGCCTGATCGAAAAGAATACATCACAGAATTCATTTCGGCGGTCCTTGGATTCTGGAATATACCTTAGGATTTCCACAGTTTTTGGAGTGTTTAGAGGAGTTTTAAACGCGACGGCTCTTGAGCTCGTTTTGAATGCACTTCCTTTGCTTGTCATAATTTTCTTCTACCGGTTGACATATAAGCTTAATTTTTGACTGATTGCACTCAAAACTCACTCCACTACAAAAGAGAAGATCCATCTACACTGTACTTAACCTTAATGCTAGTGAATTAAATAAATAGAAAGGAGATAAATATGATAATTTGCCATCAACTCTATTTCGTAATTTCTGCAAAGTGCTCAATTTCTAGTTGACCATGACTATTATGACTTTTAAAATAGTATAGAAGGTTACTGAAGACGTCTCACGTTGATAGCTGAAGACCTGTTGACAGCTCCGTCTTTTGATAATTTTCAACTTTAGACACCAGCATTCCTCAGACTATCCCTGCATTAAATTGTATCACTGGTTTTTATCCAGTGGTAATTTTCAATCTGAAGGCAAAAGCAGCGTGCATAAGTTTGAGAATTGATGTTGGTTTATGAGATGTTCCAACTCTGGCTTATGCATCAGTCAATTCCAGCTGTGCTTAGCCCCCCCCCCCCGCCCCCCTGGGTGAACCCTGGGCATTAGCATTTTTTTTTACCTCGGATGGCAAATTCCCGGGGGTGGGGACTCTTGAGCTGTCAAATCCTCCAGGGTGGGGACGAAAAAAAAGAGGGCAAATGCCCCGTCCTCCGTCAACTCGCACAGTCAAATAGTGCCATTTGAGCATTTTGATGTGTGATTTTTGATTTAAATTAATGTCTTCCTTTGTAATAGCGCGAGGATTCTAATTAAGACTGCATGCCACGACGACACCAGTTTATGGGTTTAGTATTGTTATAAAATAATTTTTGACATTAAAATTATTAGAGTACTGTAAAGTCATATGTTATATTGAATTGTTTCATAAATATGGGAGGATGATCTTCAAATAACGGATATAAATAGAAATTGAAATGTTGATTCATGTCCTGATAGCTCCCAATTTTGCCATGTGATTCTGGCTTTATAAGCAATGGAAAAATGCATGCAAATCGAGAACATGTCTTCACAACCCTCTTTAATTTTTTCCTGTCCTTGACAATTAAGCCAGTATGCTTGTTTTTCCAGTAAAATGCTCTTGTGTTTGTAGTTATATTTAGATAGGAAACTGCATGCGTTTTAAAAGCTTGGGAATAGCCCCACGGTTGCCCCACCCCCGGGACTGACAAGGTGGGCAAATGCCCTACAATAGCCCTGGGTTGGGGGAGCGGGGGCGAAGAGGGGGGGCTGGGAGGAATTGACTGATGCATTAGACTGGAAAAATTGTGGTGTTTTCAAAAGGTGGTCACTTTTGACAGGAGTTTGGTAATGACAAGGTGTTTGTACATGGAGGCTCGTCCGTATATCAAAATATTATAACAACATGAAGACTTGTAACTATGAGAGAAGAAAAAAGGGGATAATATTGAGTTTATACATGCTGAAATCTCCACCGGAAATTTTGGTCAGTCTCCAGCTGCAGGGGAAAATTTTCTGGAAAAACTGATCCACTGTCAGAATGGTCCTTTATTTAGGCCATTTTGTCTTGTCCTACCAACACTTACCATTCCATTTCCCAAATGCTTTATAATTTTCCAGTCCCATCAGAAATTTGGTCTTAACTTAAATGGAATATGCTTTGACCTAGTTGGAAACTTGGCTTCAGCTGAACAGTGTTATTATCTTTTCACTTGGATAGATCCACTGGTTTCTGACCAGCTTATTTGGCAAAATAGAAAGCACCCTGATGGTTTAAATGCATGCATACGTGATTGAAATAATGTTACAGCACACACAGTGTAAAAGGGGATTAGGCAGAAAGCACATTGGTATATAGTCTTCTTACTCTTCATATAATTCTGCCAAGACAAAAATAATATTTTTCCTCTGATCGTGATGATACTGATGGTTAAGAGGGAAAATCTTAAATGTAATGTCTAAAAAGGTTACCACATGAATAATTAACTTCTATGCAAAAAATAATATTTATCTTAAATGTCAACAGTTACAAATTATATTATTGTCTTGCTTTATATTCGCATAACTTTTAATTACTAAAAAACAGTAAGTGGAAACCAGCTGGCCTTAATGTTTCAGTTGATTCCATTTTATTCAGTTGAAGCCAGCTTGTGTCGCTGGTGGGGTTAGCAGGGAGTGTTGTTGTTTTTTGGCAGCAAAGCCACAAAAAGTTTGGATCCAAGCAAGTCAAATTCCTCTTGCATAAAGAAAATACCCAGCGCATAACAAACCTGCCAGCTACACGGGCTTGATTTTTTCAAACCCAAGTTGAGAAAAGTGAAGTTTATTTCTAAACCTACACTCTTGTTTCTCTAGTCTGAAAGCAAGAGAGTACAATGATGGGCTGTAAGTTGTTAGTTAATATGCAAAATTATCAAAACATCAGGTAATTTATGCATAGAACTCAAGGGCTGCCCTTGCATGATGTAAAAACTGCGCCGTCTGTTGCTTTTTATTTCATACTTCAGCTGACAGCTTGTGCAGATATAAACACAGCTGAAGAGGCCAAGACCTACTACAGAAGGCTGTTTTTTTTGCTGCACGAAGAGGTACGTACAATACAACATTTACATTTCATGGCTATAGCTGGAAACATGCTCGGGGAGACAACATTGTGCAGAATTTATTTGGGTCCTTGAGTTCTGGGATGCCTTAAGGACCTTAGGTTTCAGTGCTTTTTAGTCGGTTCAGTTAAGGGCTAAAAGGAGGTAACATGATGGCTCTTGGGCTCTTTCAAACTTAAAACGTTTTGAATATGCTTCCTTTCTTTGTCATATTTTTCTATCTACTGGTTGACATGAACCTAATTTCTGAGTGACAGGATGACTCTATGTCAAGCTTATCCCACTCCAAAAATCTAGGAACAAGGAGAGATTTTAACCTGTGGTTAAGGCCAGTATATTATATTAAAGACGAATCATATGAAAAGAAAGAAGACAAAATAATATGACAATTTGTAATCAACTTTATTTCATAATTTTGACAAACTTTTTATCGATTTTTAGTTTCGAGTTGACCATGACTGCTTAATAAGGATATTGAAGTCTCACATTGTCAGCTGAAGACCTGTTTATGACTGTTTACGGCTCAGCCTTAATTTGGTAATTTTCAAGTTTTAGACACACCCTTCAGACAATCCCTTGCATCAAATTGTGTCACTGGTGTTTGCATGTATTCAGTGGTAGTTTTCAATACGAAAGCATAAGCAGCATGCATAATTTTGAGAATTAATGATTTAATTGTGGTTTATTAGAGTTTGCAACATTGGCTTAGACTTAGAAAACTGTGGTGTTTTCAAAGGGTGCAATTTTTGGTCACTTTTGGGAGGCCGTCAGTAATGACATGGCATTTGCACATGGAGGCTCATCCGCATATCAAAATATTATAACAGATATGGAAACTTGTATCTTATGAGAAGAAAAAGGGATATATATTATAATGCTGGAAATTTTGGTCGAATGTCCAGCTGGTAAGAATTCTCCACAAAATGTGATCCAGCTGCTCCAGAGTTGGTCCTTTATTTAGACCAGTCAGTGCTGTCGGCTGGCCAACACTTAAGTCCATTCCATTTCTCAAATTTCTTATAATTTTCCGGTCTTACTTTTACGAAAAGTAATGATCAGAATTTTGGTATAAAGAACACTTTGAGTTGGAAACTTTACTGCAATTGAACAGTGTCATTACATTTTCACTTGGATAGTTCTCCTAGTATCTGACCAGCTGGTTTGGCAAAATGGCAAGCATCCTGTAATGGTTTAAATGCATAAAAAATGATTGAAATGCTACAGTACAAATGCCTGTGCCAGGCTCTCAGATAGTATGGTGGGAACGTATTAAAACGAGCAAAGCAAAAATAAGACGCGCACGACTTGGGAAAGGGGGCGGTGGCAGCGGCAGCCCCCGCGTGTTTTTCACATTTCTTAATTATTACTGAACAACTTTCCACCACCATCTCGGAGCCTGGAACAGGCTACAGTACAAACAGTATAGATCTAGGGAATAAGGCACAAAGAACATTGCTATAAAGTCTTCTTACTTTTTATGTGTCTTTCTGCCAAGACAAAGATAATTTTTTTCTGCTTAACCTGATGTAATTATAATTACTGAAATTTTTAAAAAGGCTACCACATGAATAATAAACTTCTAGGGGAAACAAAAACATTTGTCTTGTCAACAGTTACAATGGTCTCACTTTATTTGCATAACTTTTAATTATTAATTAATTAATTAATGTTTTCAGTTGGTTCCAACTGTGGGGGAGTTCTGTTTAGCCACAAGAAGTTTGGATGCAAGTCAAATTTTTTCCCCTTGCATAAAGAAAATACCCAGTGGATAACAAACCTGCCAGCTACACAAGCTAGCTGATTTAGTGGGCTTATTTGATTTATTTAAACACAAGATTCCATTTTCAGTGGGTGTTTAAGGTGATCCATTTTTTGCAAACACCAATTTTTATGTGAAACAAAAAAAGATGACATCTTGAACCTACACGCTGTATGAAAAATATCATACTCGAGGATAAATTCTTGAACTCTAAATGCAACGAGAATGTGTTCGGTGGTTTTTCAAAATAAAAGATGACATGACACCAACTGAAAAAAAAACACATTTTAATAAAGAATAGTAATGATAATTATTGTAACTGAAGGGCTCCATGCAAAAATGTCCCCACGCTCTCTTCCTTTTTGCAGGGACGTTTTCCCAAGGAGGCCTTTTCAATTATAAACCTTATTCTAAAAGTGTAGCCTTATAATCTTTACTTACTTTAACACAGGTGAAACAAGCTACTATCAGTTCGACAATATGGCGTGGAGAGATGATGGATCTGGTAACCTGACAATTTCTGGAGCAAAGGTTAGCTTCACTGGGAGTGGCAACTCCAAGGGGAATGCTATCTGGAGTCAAGGTGGAACTGGAAGTTGGGAGTTTAAAGTGACTGGAAGTTCCGGAACCTGGGTGGGAGTTTCTGCTGAAGATAAGTTTGCAGCTGGTTGGGGGATGAAGGGATTGTTCTATGGCGGGCCGGGCAACTTGAGTGATGGTAGTAGCCTGGTGACCAGTAACTGGGGACCTAAGTTTGGTAATGGCGATGTCATTGGAATGCGGTTGGAGCAGACTGGTGACAAGACTGTGCTGGCATTCTCTAAAAATGGAAGTGGACTGGGAGTGGCATTTGATATTTCTGGCTACAGTGGCATGGAGTTCCGTCCAGCGGTTTCCATGGATGAAGCAGGACAGTGTGTGACAATCTCTGAGACTGCCACTTCTAACCTGGCTGCTTTCCAGCTTGTTCCCACTCCAAGACAAGGGGTGGAGGGAGACTGGCAGGGGAGGTTCAAGCTGATGATTGAGAAAACTGGAGATGGAGCCTGGAACATTGCAGCCGAGGTGGCCAACATTATATCCTGCAATGTAACTCAGGGTGCTGATGGTAAACTTGTGTCTGGACAAGTTACAATGACGAAGATGATGCCGCCTCCAGAGCTCTTTGAGCTGGAGTGTGAGGTAACCTCCATCCTGGAAGGTCTGACTTCACTCAGACGGGAAGGAGAGACCCTGGTGCTGGAAGGAGGAGGAAAGAAGGAGATCTTTACACCTGCTGCTGGACCTGGTCCTGCCACCAAAGACAGTGTCAACTGGATGCGTTGAAAATCCTTCCTGTCAACTAAAAGGAGACCTTTACCAAAATTCATATCTTGTAATTAAACTTCACAAAATTGTTTAGTTGCTTTTAAGCATTGAATTGCTCTTAACCCATTCGCCCCTGAACCGCCCGTAACCGCCCGTGCGGATCCAGGTCCTTTCTACCCATTGTGACGTCACCAGTTTTAACGGTCAAGGACAACTTTCTTCGCTAACTTGTGCAGAGTGAAGAGATCTTTCAAATTATACCAGAATGAGCACAATTCAGTCAAGGACACCGGAGAAAGAAGCAAAAAACCACGTGACATTGACCTGAAAATCTCCATGAAAATCTTGTTCCATTACCCACCTACCTTTCCTTTCACCTAATCCTAAGATCCTAAAAGCTTTCCTAAAAACTCTTTCCACCAAAATGAAGCCTACTAAATGCCCAGCAAGAGAAAAAAAATGAGGCAAGAAAAGCGAAAAAAGAAGGGAGGAGAGAAAGCGAAAAGTAAAAGTCAAGACTGCTGTGTCACTTTTGAACCCAAAAACGAAATTTTGTTTTCTGCGCATGCCCGAACTTCTCAAGCTGGTATTTTGCATCTGGATCAGAAGGCCGCGAAGTGTTCGACCTGTTAACCAGTTTGTGGTAAATTTTAGCTCTTAATAGCACGACAGTGACCAGAAAACCACTCGACTAGCTTCAAAACGCGTTTTTCGGCAAAATCTCCAGGAGCGAATGGGTTAAGTGCATCCTATAATACTTTTCAATATACACATAAATAAAATGAATAAACATTTTTTCCTATTTTATAAATGAGGAAAGTGGACCTAGACGTGGTAAACAATGAAACATTTAAATTTTAAGAATTTGGTGATTCAAGAAAAGGCAAATAAAATCTGTTTTCGGCGGTAAAAATAAAAAGATCAGATTTGTTCTGCTCTCGATTAGGGTGGGGGAGAGGTCTGGGCTTAACAGAACTAGGTTTTAAAAGTCATAGGTTTTTAATTAAAAAGTCCCTGAAGTCCTTTCAACGCTCTCGCACATACTTAATTAAACAGGAAATAAATTGGAAGCAGTAAATATTTCTCATTGCAAAATCTTACTTTTGAAATGTAAAACTTTATAGATATACCTATTATGCAGTAGGATAACTGTCCCAATTGGAGAAGGGAACGTAATAAGTTAGTGGTTGTAATTTTCATTAGACATAATATTAATTATCTTGTTGAAAACTATGATCTGAATTGTTAATAGAATAGAATGCTCCTGAAAAAATCCTTTTATCAAACGTGTACAGTTTTTAGTTGTTAAAAAGTATTTTTCTCCGGTTTCCCCCTCTCCTTAAAAAACAACACTTCCAAATTCCAATTCGACCTGGAACGCAGGGACACGTTTCAACGAGGTCTTAAGAACTCGTAAGTGCTTCGTGGATAAACAAATTACAAAATTACTTGGAATATTGTAAACTTTTCTTGGCTATTGTTTTCAAGTCTTATGATTGGTCAAAATTCTCTAACACAGAAACACACCCTTCCAAAGGGGAGGAGTTTTATAAATGCATTTTATTTCGTAGACTGCCTTTTTGTAGGTTCCCGATTCATTCTCTGTGTGAAATTGTTACATTAGAACAATTGATCACGGTACCAAGACGAGTTAAGAAATAGATTTTACTTCATTTTCTGTATAAATTGGAATTTTTGAATTTCTAATAGAGAGTTTTTAAAATCGTGAACTTTACACAAGAAACATAAGTTTTGTGTCATGCGAATTTTTTTTGCCAGATGGTACTGCATTTTCCACGGTTGACAATTATTATCAGTTGGATATCCGATATTTTCGAACCACCCAAGTAGGAGAGAACCCTAAAAACGAGGTTGACCACCCATCCGTGGAAAATTTCGTTTATCTGAAACTGGAGCAGTATAGACTTTTTCTGTATTGCACTTCGAGTTTGTTTTGTCATCCCAAGCCTGGAGTTAGTTGGTGCCTTTGTTCACAGAGATGCGGGAATGGTCTGTTTCAGATAACCAAAACCGAAATAGAACTTTGAGAAAGAAAAGTTGACTTAGAAAACTCGTTCAGTCCCTCCATACCATCCTGATACATTTCTCCCCAGCCTGCAAGTAGAAGCTAATCATTCGCCCTATGTACTGACGTGCGACAAGGTCATACCTACGGCAAAACTGGATAGCCTCTGCTCGCAGTATAACGATACCAAACTGTTTCGGACTCGTCACGAATCCGGAAACGAATTCGGAATGGTCTGCTGGTGCAGAATAGTATTTCGTAGTTTAAAAAATCGGCACATTTGTGTCAAATAATATTGTCGAAGATTGGGAAATGAAAGAAATCCATCACCATTGAGGAAATTGATTATCCATTTCCGATCCCAGCACCGGTGCTCCTATTTTCCTCGACATAAAAAAATCCCGGTTCCAATTTTACCCTCTCAGGACCCTCTGAAGGTCGGCTGGAGCCTAAAGATATCCTCCTATTTCTCAAAGGAAAAATAAGCCTCTTTGTTACCACTTTGAATACCCGGGGGACTCTCGTATAAGGGTGACAGGGATGCTCGTCATCTCGCCTATTTTGGTCTACTCTTAGGGTGTTTGGGACGAAAAGTCACTATTTGCCCATTCAAGTATCGCTAAAGACATTTACAAAAAAATGCCCGACAAAGATCACATAGAAATCTCTCTTCTGGATCAGTTAAAGCCTGAGCCACACCCACGTTGGTTTCCCTCAGGGAATTTTAAATTTGAATTTTCCGACGAGCTTCCCCGTCACGTTTATATGGGAGTCCCCCCTGGTTTGAATACAACAACAACAATAGACAACAACAACCACAACAAGTTTATTCAGCACAGTCGAACCCAGCTTTACGGACACCCACTTAATACGGACACCTCGTTATTACGGACAGTTTTTCCCGGGGGGCAGTTTTCTTTGTCCAAGGGGAAAGCTCTTACATTTTTTCTAAATTCAACCCGCTTTAATCTGGCTCAGTTAATACGGACACCTGTTAATGAGGACAACGGACACTTATTTCTTGCCCAGTCAACTAGGAATTCTTATAGAAAGCCAACCTCGCTAATGCCGACACTTCATTATACTCTCTGGGCTGTAATAGACCTTTCCTTTTGGATGGTAAAAAATCCTTCAGTTGACAGCATGTCGATGCTCCCAGCCCTACAATATACCGGACAGAATGATTTGTAAACGTCAATTTTTGGCATCAAACGAGTTATGCAGAGAAGCAACATAAAAATGAGCGATTTTTAAGTGTTTCCGTGGACTTAAGCCACGTAATGACGGCTTTGTGAAAGTTAGATAAGTTTAATTTGACGATGCTTTTGTCCTCCTTTATTTCTTTGTGATTTGGTAAAAGGGTTTTTTTTACTTAAATAACATGACCCGCTTAATACGGACACCCCGGGGCCCGTTAATACGGACACTTTCTGTGGTCTCTTCAGACCCAGCTGTCCGTATTACGGTAGACTACGAGTAGTCCCCCATTTTTCCTCAGGGATAGTAGAGCAAGCGAAACGCGAGCGCGCGTGAAAATCACCCCACGCGAGAAAAGGCGACGCGCGGCGTGTCGCCTTTTCTCGCGTGATTTTCACGCGCGCTCGCGTTTCGCTCGCTCTACTATCCCTGAGGAAAAATGGGGGACTACTCGTAGTCTATATGGTCGTGACTAGAATGGATACTCCAAAATCAGGTATCCGCTCGGAGACTGGAACTGAATAAAATTATTTTTCGGCAAATCGCTCCGACTCTTTACGACCTTGTTACCGGGGCCTAGCCGAAGGCTGGCACCGGTCATAAAATGCAACGCGTTTCTGTGTTTTCAAAGTTACATTGTTAGGGATATATCGCTGACTGAGATATATCGCTGGCTCTTTACTTTTGGGAGTGTTCGCTGAGATATATCGCTGGTTCAGAAATTTGAAGTAGGGAGCAACAACTGTAACCATGTAAATATTAATTCGATTAGTTTGCACACGGAATGGTTTAATGCGACTATATTTACCACTTATCAATAAATGAGATCCCTGTCTATTGCAAAATATTGTTACAGTATTCATCCTAGCGATGACAAAGCTTGGTCGACGTAGAACTGTGTACACTACTTATTAAACTTGCATGCGCCAAGCTTTGTTTATACGTTTCAGTACCTTACAATTCGCACTCCCAACAGGAAACTTCGTCAGATATTTTCCGACAAACAATTAAAACTCATTAGGAGGAAGTCTATCACTGCTTTGACTTATGAAGCAACAAAACAAAATCAGTTTTCAAATAACCTTTGTCACGCAATATTTACGTCAGCGAGATGCGCAAATTCTCAGCTGTTCAAAATTCGGGATTCCCTAACATTTTGCCTTTTCACATTATTCATTACACCTTGTTTTCATCTCTTAAGAATATTTGCAATAAAAAAGATTTTCTTGTCGCCCGACAAACTTGTTGATGAAAACGACCCTTCCACGTGGGTTGCCAAGACAAAAGTGGCCCCGGTAAAATTCACGAAGTGATTCTTGTTGTGTTGAAAGACTAAGTATACAAAGACTGAGGAAGGCTAAGATGAGAATGGTTACTCCAAAATATGGATCAAAGCCTACATAGAGGTTAGTTGTTTTTCACGTTCTTTGTAAGAATTTAGTGCAAGGAGCAAACAATGTCTGTTTAATTACAGTACCACTACCGCGACTGCCGTGTAAAGCTTATTCATAGCAAAGTATCTGTTTGGATAGCTCAGAATAAGGTGGATACTTCAGAATAAGAATGGCCAAAATATGGAAGTTTTGGCCATCTGGATTATTATTACTGAACTTCCCAATATAAAAATGATTGTTACTTTACAAAGAGGGTACAAATACAGTCAACCATTGTGTAATTATGGCTCAGTTAATTCGAAGCTTGCTTATGGGATAGCAGCCCAGTGTAGGGGGGGAGGGGGTACTCGACCAATATTTGGGTGTAGGTGAGCCACTGAGGGTTTGAAACCCATACCCTG